GGTCCTCCTCAGTGTGCGGTATTTTCTCTTTTGTTTTGGTATTTACCATACATTTTGTAAATTTCCATTTTTATTTATAAATACACCCATACTTTATTCTTTTTCTTTTCTTTTCTTTTCTTTTTTAAGATTTTGTTTATTTATTTAACACAGAGTGAGACAGCGAGAGAGGGAACACAAGTAGGGAGAGCGGGAGAGGGAGAAGCAGGCTTCTTGCCGAGCAGGGAGCCTGATGCGGGGCTCAATCCCAGGGCCCTGGGATCATGTCCTGAGCCGAAGGCAGAGGCTTAACCAACAGAGCCACCCAGGTGCCCTCCTTATTCCATTTTCTATTTCTTTTTTTTTTTTTTTTTAATTTTCATGGGTGTGTATTGCAACCTGCTTAGGATTTGGATTTGCTTTTCTTGATGATTCACGAGGTTGAGCACCTTTTGAGGTGTCATTTTTATTGGCCTTTTGGGTATCTTTTTTGGTGAAACGTCTGTTCAAGTCTTTCACCTTTTGTTTTTTAAGGATTCACCCCTATCTTTCCTACTGACCTACAGGAATTCCTTATTTACAGTGCGGTGGGCTATGTCTGTGTCTCTACCACCAAGCCCAGCCCCTTGTCCATCTCCTAGTCTGTGCTTAATGGTTCTGCTGTTTAGGTTGCTGTTGAATGAACGGACACAGACACGGAAAGGGAGGTGGAGACCCTTGACGAATGAATGAGGCCTTTATAGAGGCTTGTTTACATTTTGGTTTATGTAACCGCTTTTTTGAGGTGTAATTTACATACCAAAACCTTCCCTTGTTTTATGTGTCCAATTCAGTGATTTCCTGAGTTGTGCAACCATCACCACAATTATATTCTCAAGCATTGTCCTCACCCCAGAAAGAAACCTCGGGACCATTTACTTATTCCCTCTTCTTACCCCCAGCCCCGGGGCAACCGCAAATCTATTTACCATCTCTTATAGATTTGCCTTTTCTGGAATTTTCTTATAAATGCAATCATACATTTTTTTAAATTAATTTATTTATTTTTGGTAATCTCTACACCCAACGTGGGGCTCGAACTCGCAACCTTTAGGTCGAGAGTCACGTGCTCCTCCAAATGAGTGCCCAACCAGGCGCCCCACAACAGGTAGCCTTTTTTATCTGGCTTTTTTCCACTTTGTGGTGTCTTTGTGGTTCCTGCATGTTGTAGTCTGTGTCAGTACTCCAGGCCTTTCTTGGCCGAGTGATTGTTCCACTGAAGCGGGGGGCGCCTGGGTGGCTCAGTCGGTTAAGAGTCTGCCTTCGGCTCAGGTCAAGATCTCAGGATCTCAAGGTCCTGGGATTGAGTTCCGCTCCCCAACAGGGAGTTGGGCGCCTGGCTCAGCGGGGAGTCTGCTTCTCCCTTCCCCTCCCCACCTCCACCCTGCTCATGCTCTCTCTCGCTCCTGCTCTCGCTCTCAAATAAATAAATAAAATCTTAAAAAAAAAAAAAAGAATATTCTACTGGCTGGGTCTACCATGTCTTGTCACTCTATTCATTAATTGATGGACAGTTGCATTATTTCCACTTTTTGGCTATTCTCAATGTGCTGCTGTGAACACGACAAGCCTCTGTGTGGCTACGTGTTTTCATTTCTCTTAGGTAGATATCTAGGAGGGAATTGGTGGGGTCAGATGGCAAATTTATATTTAGCTTTTTTTAAGAAACTGAAACCTTGATATTTCTCTGCCATCCATAGGCTGATGATGGAAAGGCATCGAAGACTGTCTTGGATAGAAAAGAAATCCCCGCCAGCCCATAGTTAACAAATAAATGCACAGTGTCGAGAGAAAGCTAAGAAAGAGAGACGAAAGCCTGCTTTTAGGAGTTTATAGTCTAATCCAGATGTTCTAACACGTGTTTATGGAGTAACTTGGCAATGTGGAAAATCTGAAAACGAGCAGGGGTTCAGACCTGTTCATATTGCAAAGTGAATTCAGGAAGCACCAAATGCCTACTTGTTTTTTTGCAAGACTCCATGTTAGTCCTTAAGAGGGAAAGAGAGAAATTAAAACAAATCTGCTTGCCCTCCAGAGTTACTAAGAGACCTCTCAGTAAAATACCTTAGTTTCAAAGAAGTTAAATAATTAAAGATTTCAAATAGAATTTTAAGAGTGTACTAGAAGATCAGGGGAGGGGCACCTGGGTGGCTCAGTAGGTTAAGCGAGTGACTTTGGCTAAGGTCATGATCTCCGGGTCCTGGGATCGAGTCCCACATTGTTGGGGGGGGGTCCCTGCTCAGTGGGGAGTCTGCTTCTCCCTCTGCCTGCCACTCCCCCTGCTTGTGCTCTCTCTGACAAATAAATAAAATCTTAAAAAAAAATTGGGGAAGAGGAAGGCAAGGGAGGGGGTAATAGATGAGAAACTCATCTTTCCTTCAAGATCCTGTGAGAAAACAGAAACGCAGAGTGTGTTTCTTTAACATTTTTGGCATCCCAAAGATATAGCTTCCCACTTATTATTGTCTCGGAAATCTTCACTCAGAACAGGTGTTAGACAACAAACAACCAGGACCATTGGACTAGATCGATAATAATTGCTAGTATTTGAGTACTTAATATGCCAGGTATTGGCATAGTTTACATTTTTACTGATTTATTCCTCTTAATAACGATGACATAGAACTACTACCATCTTCTATGGATGTGTAAAAGGAAGCTCAGAGAGGCTGAGTCAGTTGCCTAAGGGCACACAGCTAGAAAGTGGCAAAGCTGAGGTTTGAATACAGGGAGGCCAGAGAGGCCACACGGAGTCACTACTGGGTTTAACCATCTCAAGGCCCAAGTTCCAGCTACTGGATTCAGATGCCAATCATGGATGGGAAAATAGCCCCAAAGGTGTTGGGGTGTTAGGTATTGTCCAAGTTCCTCCATGCATAAGACATCGGGGACAGGAGTTCCACTGACTGCTAGGATGGTCAGTTCTGTCCAGACCGACCTTGGGTATCGACCAGAGAGCCATGATCAATCCTGCGGTTGCAGAATCATCTGGGGCAGGTTGCTTAGAGCTGGAGTGTTTGGGATGTCCTGTACGCCGAAATTTCTCAAAGGCCAGACTGGGTCGCTGGTGGCTTGCAGGCACCGTGGAGGATTTGAGGTTGCAGGAAGGCTCTGGACCGGCTGTCCTAAATCAAGTTGGGCCTTATCATCAGATATGAAAGCTGGGGTCGGTCTGCCGACACTCACGTATCCGCTCCGATACAGGGAATTTGAGGTCCTTGTAACTGATCAGGTCTGTTACTTTTAGTGACTGCTTCCTATGTCAGATTTTGCAGCTTTGCCTTAAGCGATGGACTCCCGGTGGTGACTGTGGTCCAGAGTTTGTCTCCCCCCCCACCCATTTCAAGCCACGCGAAGGATTTGTGCATTTGCAACCGATGGGGTATGATAAGCAATCTCTGTCAGCTTGCCCGTGGCCAGAGGCCAGGCTGAGGCAGCTGAAGGTAAAATGTTTTCATTGCAGACTATGGCTCAAAGTGTATTTTCCAAAGCTAGGGTGGGCCTGGGCACAAGCATCTAAAGAAGTTACTCAGGTGATTCTAATGGGCAGCCAGGATTGAAACCCACTGAGAGATCTTAAGGCTCAGCCCATCCTTAAGACGAGATGGTTTCGTAAGGGGGTATCCAGGCAAACATCCTGAGAGATGAGGCTAGGGGAGGTGTTGTGGAGAGTCTGAAGGGCACAGGCTGAGAAGTCTGTACTTAATTTAATAGGCAACAGGGAGCCAAGGAAGATTACTGAGCAGAAGCTAAGGGGAGGCCATTTGAAGCAAACAGGGTTATTTACAGCTTAGGGAATAGTACTTGAAGTTTTCCTTTAGAGTAGGCCAAAGAAGAAATCCACTTTCTTTTACTTCTAAACCCTCTGTTCAAGGTCGTTTCTTCAGCATCCAGGTCCCTGGAGAGCAGGCACCTGTCCAGATGATGGTCGCAGCTACCTGGCTCCTTGCATGAAAGGTGTGGCAGCCTTCCACAGTTTGTCGACCCAGTAAATGAGTATAGAGCTCTAGAGCCTGGCCCGCCTGGACTGCAGGAGGACTGGTAGGTAGGTACCCTGGGGCCGGTCTCCCCTTTGCATGCAAATTGGTGGGGGCTGTTCCTCTCACCTTTCCCCCTTCCTCCATTTATCCTCTTCAGGAGGCTCCCAACTCCGTCGCCTTCCCGCCCCGTCCCTCCAGTGTAACACACTGCCACCCGGCCTCCCGGCTCTGGCGCCAGGCTTCAAACCTGTCCTTCACCCATTGTTCAGTTTCCGGTGAGTCAAGTTCAACCCCAGGTCCAACCCCGACAGGGGCTGCCGCAGACACATTCCCTCGCAGGCACCCCGGAGGAGGCGCCCGCCACCCGCCGGCTGCCACCAGACCCACAAAGCCGGCGCGGAAGGGCGTTTCTGTTCCAAAGGCTTTCGGAGGCGGGGGTGTGAGCGCCGAGACCCCTCCCCAGCGACCTGCCCCCTCGGCGAGGGAGCGCCCAGCCTTCCGCGGGCGTGGCCGCTCTGGTCCAGCCCCCGCCCCGCCCCCTCGCCTCCGCGCGAGCCCCCGCTCGGCCACCCCGCCGCCAGCCCCTCTCCGCGGACGCCCGGCCGCTCCCTCGCCCCCGAGCCGGGCCCCGGGCGATGCTCTGGATCCCACCTCCCCCGGGAGCTGCGCATTTCCGCGCGCCCGGGCGGCTCCGGCTCCGGCCGGCCCTCGCGGCCGCAGCCCGCGCTCCGCGTCCCCGGGAAGTTGTCTCCCGAGCCCGCGGCGCCTGGGTCTCCTCCCCCTGAGCCCCGCCCCCCCGCCCAGAGCTGGATCTGCGAGCTGCCCGGCCCGGGGGCGTCGCCGCTTGCTCCGCGAAGCCTGCGAGTCTCCGCTGCCCTGCGCGGAGCGCGCGTCCCCCGCCTGGCCGGGGACCCCCCGCGCACCCCCGAGACGGCGCGCGCCCAGAGCGCGGGAGCCCGGAGCGCCGGGCGCCTGGGACCCCGCGGAGCCGCTGCCCAGCCCGCGGGGCTCGTCAGGGATGCAGGCTGCGCTGTGAGCCCGGGCTCCAAGGCCATGTCCGGCGCCCGCTGCCGGACCCTGTACCCCTTCTCCGGGGAGCGGCACGGCCAGGGGCTGCGCTTCGCCGCGGGCGAGCTGATCACGCTGCTGCAGGTCCCGGACGGCGGCTGGTGGGAAGGCGAGAAGGAGGACGGGCTCCGCGGCTGGTTCCCAGCGAGCTACGTGCAGTTGCTGGAGGTAAGGGGCGAGGGCCGGGGACCGGAAGACCCGGGGCTGCGCTGCTCCGCGCGCCCCCGTACCTGTTGCCCGCACCCGGGGACGCCGGAGCCGCCCCTGTCCGAGGGGCGCCGCGGAGCCCTCCGGGGGCAGCCGCTGCACGTCCGACACTGCCGGCGGCGGAGGCAGCGGGCGCCCCTCGGGGCTGGGCAGCGCGGGGATCGCCCCCGGAGCGTCCCCCGTGCCGGGCCTCCCGAGCACATCGTGGCCGCCCTGAGGAAGGACAACTTGTTGCCTGTCTGAGTTCTGGAGCGAGCGGGCGGCCGGGCGCGCTCCCGGCGGTGGCAGGGGCCGGCAGAGGGCTGCGGAGTCCCGTGCTCTAGGGAAGACGCGCGGAGGATCGGGATCAGTTTAAAAAAAAAAAAAAAAAAAAAAAAAGTGGCATCGATCGGGCCCCGGAGCACGGAGCCTGCCACCGGTGGACGGTCGTGCTGCCCCGGGTCAGGCTGCCTGGCCGCCTAGGAGCCACCCACTTGCTGGTCAGCTGAGCTTGGCTGGACACCGGCCCCAGCCACCCGCACTATCAGGGGTGCCGCAGCGCCCCTCTCCTGGTCCGGCTTCCCGGGGCTAAGGTCCAGACCCTGACAGTGGCCTGTTCCTGGGGTTCTGGCCTGCCCCCAGGACTGCAAAGGACCTGCTGAGCCAAGTCGGCTGGCTGTTTATTGTCTGGGTGACAGTTGGGAGGCCTCCCTGTCCTCTAATCGCTGAGCTCATGGTCACAGCCTGAGTGGGCTTCGAAGTTTCAAAAGTCCTTTGGTGGGGGCGGAGTGGGAGAGAGGACTGACCTTATAGGACATCCCCTTTCGTAAAAAGCTGCTCAACCCCAGGATTGTTGTACAGACTTCAATAGGAGGTTATCCACAACTGTGTAAGGATAGACCAAATGTTCTGCAGAAACACCTCCCAAATCACGGGGTCTGAATTTATTTATAATTTGACCTCTGACCTACTTTGCAAAGAACAGGGTAGCAAGTTTAGAGAGAAATTGCTGGGTGGGACTTAAAGAAAAAAAAAATAAAAAGGACAGAGAGAAAGAAAGAATGATGGATGGGGCTAAGTGATTTTGGGTGAGTTTGCTGGGAAATAGCCTGTGAAAATATTACCAGAACGAGAGCGTGGCCTCCTAGAGGTACAAAATCCCCCCTAAAGGGATTAGTAGCATTCAGACAAAATTGAGCCTGAAAGAGATTTTCGTGGCCTGGCAGAAAAGTAGGTTCCAGAACCCTCCCGATTGTGTATTTTGAGAAACTGGTGTGCGTCAGGCAGGCTCAGGTGTGTGTCCCTGGGCTTCCCTGGTTCCCTTCCCGGGATTCAGATGTGAGAGAAAGCACATGTATCCCTTCTTAGGAAGACCCGTAGCCTCCTGGTTCCTGGCTCAGGACTCCTGTCTCAGAGTTCCTCTGGTGGCCACACTTTTTCCAGGAAATCCTGATGTGGAAATTTGGCTTTGGAGGTCTTTGCTGAGGAGCGCCCCTGGCTGGACGCAGTCAGCTGTGTTTTGGGGTGGGGGTGCCCAAGGCTGGTGGGTTGATAGGCTGTGTTCACCAGAGGGGACGGGCTCTGCTTTTTTATCCTCTGGAAAAGGGAGCGCGGACCAGACCTCGGAGACACACAGAGCCATTCGCTGGGACAGTCTTGGGTGCCTCCGTCACAGCCCCTGGTGCTTAGTAAGGGTCTTTCCGACCCACTCCCAGTGGGGACATGCACGGGAAGTGCCCGTCTGTGGGAGCCGGACCGCTGGGAGGGGCTTCCATTTCTTGAGCACCTACTAGGCCCCAGTTCCTCTGAAAGCTCTGTGAAGGGGAGGCAGTCTCCCCATTTCTCAGGCACGCATGAGAGGGGAAGGCAGTTGCCCCAGGGGAGACTTGCCTGAGCGGCTCAGATGGTTGAACTTTCCCCTCTGTGGCTGCGTTTGTTTTAAATATGGCCCTGTGGGCTCAAGTGCTAAAAGGCAAGTGAGGGAAGGGTCTGGATCCTTGTGGGAGAGGCCACGTGCAGCCCTCCAGGTCAGCGTGCTGATGACAGCAGTCCTAAGGGCGGGCGCTGCCTGTGGGGGCTACGACGAGTGCAGGGGCTCCTTCCCACCTGGAGCATCTCTCCTGCTAAGTCTGAAAATTGCTTGCACAGGGAGGCTGCTGGCTTTCCTACAGTGGGGGCAGGGCTGGGCCTGAGCCCTGGGACTTTTCGGGGTCAAGGCAGGTGCAGTTTCCAGAGGATCGGAGATCAGGCCTTCTGTGTCTGGGCACCTTGTGGGTGAGCAGGCTGGACTCCCAGGCTGAGGGCTGGAGGGTATGTGGGTAGATGTCCCTTGGGATGGGGAGAGTCCTCAAAGCCAGACTCAGGCGACAATGGAGATCTCCCAAGGGAGTCACTGGCGGTGAACCGACCAGTATATGAAATTGCAAGTCTGGAGAAGCAGCAGCTGGGTGTCCTTCAAGACTGGAAGTTGGTGCGGCAGCCAGGAGCCTGGAGAGGGGGATCTAGAGATGGACAAGCCCATGGGATGTCGGCCAGCAGGTGCCTGGCTCTGGGCCTGCTGGGGGGCATGGAGATCAGAAGACCAGGGGGGAGCTGTTGGGGAGACAGGTCCAGACAGAATGGAGGGCACCAGCCTCCTGGGGGAGGAGTGTGATGGTTGGGGGCACAGCTGGGTGTAGCAGACCTTGGCCCTTTGGTGTAAAGAGTGATACCAAGAAGCCCCATCTTGGCGGAAGGGTACTATGGGTCGAGGGCAGTGTATGCAAAGCGGACACTCTCCGAGGATTTCTGTCTTGTTCATACGAAGAAAGGGGAACTGAGAGGCGTACCCCGAGGAGAGGAGCTGGGAGCTAACTCTGGCAGAGCTGAGATCTGCCTTGGAGGCCCGCCAGCCCCCAGGGAGGGAATCTTCTGGATCAGGCCTCCAAGGAAAGGGTAGAAGGGTGCAGCATATTCTTGGTTTCCAGAAAGCAGCCTCCAGGAAACTGTCAGCCCAAGCGAGGAAGTGGGGGCCGGGAGAGGTGCTACCATGTGGGCTCAAGGGCTGGCCTCAAGGATTGGGGGTGCTCGGGATGGTGGAGCTTCCCAGAGGAGGAGAGCAACAGCAGGAGGAGGGAACCCTGTGGCTGGGTAGGTTTGGTGGTTGGTTCCATGGGTGGAGGGCCGGGAATTCCCTGTGACCTGCTCTTAACCAAATGGAGAAAAGAAATTCGGGACATGGAAGATACTGGAAGGCATCCGCGGAAACCCCCCCCAGAGCTTTGGGGAAACAAGCCGCCAACAACACTCAGAGGTGCTAACAGTGGGGCTCTGTCTGCCAGCAGAACCAGGTGGCTGCAGGGGGTCACCCTTGAACCCGGTCTTCTCCTCTCCGCCTTCTGTTCTCCCATTTTGGGCTCACGGGATGTGCTTCCGGAACATTCAAGGTGGGGCCATGGGAGAGAGATGCAGAGATGTGGAGCTGGGCTGGGCTGTGGATATTGCTGTGGGACAGACCACCCAAAGACTTCGTGTCGCCAAACACCCATTTCCTATTACCTCACACATCACCGTGGGTCGACAGGGCTCCGCTGGGTGGTTCTTCTGCCTGTCTGTCTTGGTGTCTGTCCTGCATTCACAGTCAGGTGGTGGCAGGAGTTGGGGTCCCCGAAGGAGAGCTGGCCTGGAACTCCAAAATGGCGGCTTCACTCCCATGTCTGGTGCGTTGGTGTTCTTCCAACGGGGCCTTACTCTCCGCATGTGTCTTACTCTCCAGGGCCTGTCCACATGGCCTTTTTCTTTAGCAGGGAGTTTGGAGTCTTTCTCTGGGGGCTGGCTTCCAGGAATGCAAAGTGCAAATTGCCAGGCCTCCTTAAGGTTTGGGCTCACCACCAGCACATCCCTTCTGGCCCATTTTATTAGCACAGTGAGTCACAGGACCCGTCCAGATCTGTGTGGGAGAGAGGTGCCTGTAGGTGTGGATACAGGTGTGGCTACAGGTGCATTGAAGGCCGTTTTGCAGACTGGCAACTCCAGAGGGGTCGGGAGAGCCCAGCTGGGGACAGTGATCCATTAGAGAGGAAACAGCGCTAGCCCAGACATGAGAGAGAGAGAGTGAGCTCCCAGAGGGAAGCAAAGTGCAGGAGATCTGGCTGTTGTTCTGCTAGAAAATATTCCATTGCCATCCTCAGGAGATTCTCTCTCTCTCTCTCTCTCTCTTTTTTTTTTCTCTTAAGATGCCAGGGATTTCTCCATAAAGGCCACCTGATAAACGTTGCAGCTGAATTTGAAACCAGATTTTCCTGTCCCTAAAGCCTGGGTCTGTCCACTGGGCCATTGGCATGGCAGTCCAGCCTTTTCGGGTAGGGGGCGATATTTGGAACTGGTGATTAGTAGACACAGTGTATCCGAGCTGCCTGACATCTAGTAGCCGCTTGCTGTGTTACGCAGATTGATTTTAATACCAGGCCTTGCGTTCTGGAACGTGAGAATTACCAACAGTGGGTGTGACCTTGTCCCTCACAATAGGATTTTTCTGTAAGGCGGTTTTTAGCTCTGTTTGCAAAGCTGTGATGAGACCTGGGGCTCCCAGCGGATGTGACCGTGACCAAGTATACCCAACAGGCTTTCTGCCATCGTCACTAAGTCATCCTGTCCTTTGATTTGGGGGCTGCTCTCCGCCTTTGTAGCTCCTGCTGTTTGGAAATCTACCTTCAGCTCACCCCTCTGCTGGGGAGAGCCTCCCTCTCTCATCTCTGGTCAAGTAGCCACCCCACCGGACTTCAAAGCCATGGGCAGGGCTTACGGATTCTACGGATTCAGGGCACCTTCACAAAAGTTCCCTTAGCAACAAGTCGGCAGGAATCCCCGACATGTGTTCACCACCACGTGAGTCCCGGCTGCCCGCTTACCACCTAGAAACATGAATGAGATACTGACCTTCTTGGGCTCTCTCAGCCTGGGGTGGGGGAAAGAACCCAGCTTTCATTTGACCGTCTGACTGT